TGCAGCAAATTGATTGTGAATTTAGAGATTTAAGATTGATTAGACCCACCTCTGTATGAGGATAATATGACTCGTGTGATCGTGTTGTGCATTATAGTTTAACACGTTGCGAATTTAGAAATCTAAGACAACTCTCTATGTCCATTGTTCGGTGCAGATCAAGTCGCTGTTTTATAACCATAAAAATAAGTTTTCTTTTTTTTTTTTCTTAAAAATAAATTTTGTAATAGTGAATTTATTGGTTTGAGGTCCCAACATTAGAGGTTAATATACAATATGATAAAAGGTTTGAAGTGGATGTTTATTTTTTACCCACCCGGTCGACTTGACTTTTTCTCGAGGGTAGTGTCGGTCACGTAGGCAGCAACTTGATTGTGAATTTAGAGATTTAAGATTGATTAGACCCACCTTTGTATGAGTATAATATGACTCGTGTGATCGTGTTGTGCATTATAGTTTAACACGTTGCGAATTTAGAAATCTAAGACAACTCTCTATGTCCATTGTTCGGTGTAGATCAAGTCCCTGTTTTATAACCATAAAAATAAGTTTTTTTTGATAAAAATAAATTTTGTAATAGTGAATTTATTGGCTTGAGGTCCCGATATTAGGGGTTAATATACAATATGATAAAATGTTTGACGTGGATGTTTATTTTTTACCCACCCGGTCGACTTGACTTTTTCTCGAGGGTAGTGTCGGTCATGTAGGCAGCAAATTGATTGTGAATTTAGAGATTTATGATTGATTAGACCCACCTCTGTATGAGTATAATATGACTCGTGTGATCGTGTTGTGCATTATAGTTTAACACGTTGCGAATTTAGAAATCTAAGACAACTCTCTATGTCCATTGTTCGGTGCAGATCAAGTCGCTGTTTTATAACCATAAAAATAAGTTTTCTTTTTTTTTTTTCATAAAAATAAATTTTGTAATAGTGAATTTATTGGCTTGAGGTCCCAACATTAGAGGTTAATATACAATATGATAAAAGGTTTGAAGTGGATGTTTATTTTTTAACTACCCGGTCAACTTGACTTTTGCTCGAGGGTAGTGCCGGTCAAGCAGGTATCAAATTGATTGTGAATTTAGAGATTTAAGATTGATTAGACCCACCTCTTTGTAAGGGTTAACATGATTAGAGTGATCGTGTCGTGCATTATAGTCTAACATGTTGCGAATTTAGAAATCTAAGATGACTCTCTACGTCTATTGTTTGGTGTAGATTAAGTCCCTGTTTTATAACCATAAAAATGATTTTTTTTTTTTTTTAGAAAAATAAATTTTGTAATAGTGATTTTTGAAAAAATTTGGGGTTAAAAATTAGCTTCCGTTTGATGCCCATTAATTCCTCTTTTTAAATTGATTTCATTATTCGCAATGGTAGTATATGAATTTAAACTTCTCGTCCACCGAACGCTCATCAAATTCTTTGACGCCACCTACAGCGTTGAAAATTATTTTTCCGTTCTTGCCCTCATATTACCAATCTTGAATAACATTGCCGTTGAGTACTTCTCTCCCTGAACACCAAAAACGTGTTAAAGAAATTAGAGGGTACTTTTGGAATCATAAAAAATTGCATTAAAGAAAAGGTGAATTATACCTATTGTAAGCAAATTGAAAGGCCAGCAAATAATCACTAAGGTCTACTGTACAAATAAATGTTTTCTTCAGAAAAAAGAGCCATGGGGCTTAGAAAAATATTCGAAGTGTTTTTCTTTTGTATTTTTTATAAATCAGCGTTTATATATAAATGTAGGACGATCTGTTATGCCCTCTTAACCAGTTTTTTTGTTGATTCGTTTCACTTTGGTAGTTTTCCTGAATCAGAATCCCAAATAATGAATCAGAGCACATAGAGTCAGCTCTCGTAAGGGTTTGCTCGTTCTTTGTACATAAACCCTTGTGAGGGTTTCGCGTAATTTCAGCAATTCGGGAAAAATATTTTATTGTAAGAATACGTAGTTAAAAATGAGTTTGAGAATAAAAAAATTTTGCTTAAATGACTCAAATACGGCCTAAATTCTATTATAAATTTGAAGTTAAAGTCAATAATTAATTTTAATTATATCAAAAACTTTATTAACTTTTATAACATATTATACTAAAAATTTGATTTCAATTTACATTAAACATGAGCTTTAGACAGGGCCAATACATCCAATTTTAAATTTAGCCTTTGTTTGTGCGATCCACACGTGTGAAACATAATTAATGAATACAATCTAGGATTATGAACATTTATTATTCGAATTGAATCGAGAATATCCACTTGATTATTTATAATCAATTAAATTGGACCTCATAAATAATTAGGTATTTAGGTTGTTTGGCATGATTTTTGCTTTTACTTCTTGTATGAGAGTTTTTAGAAAAAACTACGTTAATTTTTTTTTAAAATTAACTTTTAACAGGGTTTTCTATTCCAGAAATGCTTTTAGAGGAAGTCACGTTGAATCAACTTCCTCTGAAAACTCTTCTAACCGTGAAAAACACATTTATAAAATTAGTCAAACGAAATCAAAAGCTGATATTGGATCCCAAAAGTTATTTTTGACGGCCCTTCGTAAATTTTGATAAAAGTTAATTAAATTTATAATTGAAAAGTTGTGAATCCTATATAATGTATGTCACCAAAGTTAATTGTTTAATCTAACTATTTTAGGCAAATGAAACTAAACCGTCAGGTAGAAGAAGCAAGGGTTGGCCAGTGATCACTTTCATTCTAGAGTGGTGGTTACTGGTTAGTTTATTAATAAATAAGCGCACTAATCATCTGGATTCCCTTTTTTCTCTTATTTATGCTTATTTTACTAATATTTTTCTCTTTTACATATTTAAGTAAAACACCCCTTTCACACTAATGAAGAGTGGGGACACAAACACAATTATTGCCCCTAATATGATTATTGTGAATATCATTTATTATTATTATTATTATTATTATTATTATTATTAAACTAAAAAAAAAGAACACTAATGAGGAAAGTAATAGAATCAAAATTCTATACGGACTTTTCGTTTGAATTCTATTGCTTTATACCATAAAAAATAATTGAATGATAAATTATTTAAATAAATATAGTGATGTTTTATCTTTTACGTCTGACTTGTGGATGTATTAACAAAAAATATTACATAGTTGCTATTGCACACTGCCTAGATAAAACGTTAAATAATAATAATAATAATAATAATAATAATAATAATAATAATAAAATAAATTGCTTCTAATTAATTGAATTTCTTCTAATGCTTATTTTTTTAATGCTTTAATGAGTATTATTAGAGAACTGTGAATTTATGGTGCGTTTGATTGTCAATATTTTTTCATGAAAAATGTGTTTTTCCACCCAAATTTCTACTATTGTGCTATTTGATTGACATTTTTCCATGGAAACCGTTTTCCTACTTTTTGTTATGTGACCATATTTTTTATCAAAATCAAGGAAAATATATTTTTTAGAGGGAGTATGATTTTAATTTCCAAGAAATTCACATTCTTTCTCTCTCTCATTTACCCATCAATAAAAAAAGGATAAGTATAATATTTTCTATGTTAAAAATTAAATTAATTAAATACATTTAATTAATAATTTTCATACAAATATGTTCTAAACAATTGAATTGCTTATGATTTATTTTCTTTCTATGCAAATTTCATGCTTGTAATCAAACGAAACCTTAGTTTTACATTTGGCAATGCAACCGTTAGCAAAGCAGTAATTAATAAATTGGCTTGACACCTTAACCCTAATTTAGGAGGTAGTCTATTCCAAATACGTTGTATTTATCATATTTTTAATTTAATTGTGCAAGATGTGTTAAAATTCATTGAAAGTGAGTTAGACAAAAGTAAGAGCACTCTAATCTTCAAATACGATACACTAATAGAAAGCAAGCTTTCAATGAATATTATAATGAAAATGAACTAGACATTAAAACATTGGTCAAGGATATAGGTTATAGAAGGAATTCAACTTATTTTTTTCTACTTTCTTGTGAATGCTATGAAAATTGTATTACTTCTTACAACACTCAACATGCATACGATCCAAAATCTGATTTCTAATTGTGTGAGAAATTTTTTAAAAGATTTTAACTTTATTAAACAATGTGACAGTAATTCCATTACCGCATAAATTGGTACAAAACAGTACCAGTGATTCTAAATAGTGTTATCCTAGTATAATTATTAGAAATCGGTTTCGAAGTTGTTTATACTCTTCAAGCTTGTCCTTTTGGCATCATTAGCCTAAAGCCCTATGGACAATGGTGATATCTTGTAGGTCCTATTGTGATCAAACAAAAATATCAATCTATTTTAATAATTTTCGGCATCAATAATACACGATGATCATGACTATTATTGATCATGACGGAATTGTGCAAACTATCTTTTGAGATTAACAATATATGATTTTTTTTTTTTTTAAATAACGAATTTGAGGACTTAACTTTGCTCTATCTTTATTTTTCTTGGATCTATGCCAACATTGACTAAGAAAATAGTGCAAAAGCCTAAATCTTACACAAATCCACCTTTAGCCAAAAGAAAAGAGAAAATGGTGGCACAGAAATATATATCTACCAACTGCAAAAGGCAAAAAAAAAAATAAAAATAATAATAATAATAAATAAAAATAAAAATAAAAAGGGAAGGAAAAAGGGATGTCACTTATTTCAGTATCGAGGAGGCTAACCAAAAACTTGTATGAATAAGGCATATTTGTACTTATATTAGACGAAAATATAAATGACAACAGACAAAATAATCTAAGTGCATAACTTTTGTTTACAATTAGCTTCAATGTATGGTCGTGCCTTGTGGCATGAACGTTGAATCCGAATGTGAGTTAAAGAAATTGACAATATAAGTAGAGATATGCTCGACTGAAAATGTAATCGCAAAAATTTAAGATTAGTAACTAGATAGTACAAATTTATTTATTTTTTTTTTATTTTTTTTGCTACATAAGTACTTTCCAATTGGATGTAATAAAATTCATATCAATTATAAGTATATGAATAAATTAGAAACTTCCATTATAGATAGAAAATTGTAAGGAAAAAGAAAAAGAAAGAAAATTGGGTAAATTTACTGATTCTATGTTGTGGTAGAAGACGTTGCAGGCAAAGTAGTTGCACCACCACCGCCGCCTTCACCACTATCAGTAGATTCAGTACCACCAGTAGAACTGGCACCAACCGCCATCGCCACTGTAGATGCACCACCGCTGACGGCGGCAGAGGCTGACCTTTTCCTCCTTTTCTTCTCATAGGGTATTCCTCTAGCCTTTGTGTGACTTTCTTTCACTTCTCTAAGATATAACCTAACGGCTTTAGCCCCAAAAGGATTGGTCTCCTGTCGGCCGCCGTTCTCTTCATAGGCAGCCCGGAGCCGGCCGATTATGGCATCCAAGCTGCCCCAAGCCTGCTTCAAAGGGCACGCACAGGGGGCCGGAGGACTCGGGTGGCCGAAATACGGACAGCTTGTTACGTGTACCTTAGTTTTCCCGAACTGGTCTAGGTATTTCAAGAATTCAATCACGTGAGCTCCGCTGCATCCGGCAAGCGTCAGTGGCGGCTTGTGGTTTCTTAAGTATTGTAGGAAAGTATTCCAGTCTCGACGCTTCTGCGACTCGTAGCGGCTCGGTGTTGCCTCCGTTGACTCGGTTCCGCCCTCGGCCGTGCCTCCGCTGGTCGACGATGGAGCCGTCTCCCCTCCATTCGGGTCGTTACTTTCCACTCCTGCTTCTGAATTCATCAGTTTTTTATCGTCCGAATGTTGACTTTTGTTGACCTCAAAATCTGATCGGTCCAAAATGGCTCAACAGTCGAGTACAGCTCCGCTTGTCCCCCCTCTCTCTCTCTCTCTCTGTCACTCACAGTGGTTGGGGTTTGGCTCTTCCCGATGCGGATTCTGTCAGAAATCACACTGAATTCATTGTAATTATTGGCTTATTTGGCTAATGATTCTGGGTCAAGAGTGTTTCCGATGCAATGTGAGTCGTCTGTGAAAGAAAAAGAAAAAATAAATAAATAGAGAAAGAGGGAGAGAGAATTTGATGGGACGTATAAAAAACATATATTAATTGGATGAACGAATGAGAGAGACGACTCTATTTAGAATTTACTACTACACTAGCCTGGGGACGGAAAGAGATAGATACATATAAAGATATAGAGAGATAAGAGAATCCGAAGGAGTTTGAAATGGTTCAAAACACTACACTCGACCTGGCATACCATCATTTGAAGTAGAATTTTCCATGTGTACAAGAAATCTCACATTGAGGTGGATCCCAATGAACAAAATAATGCAAAAAACTCAACTATCCTGCTGTTGTGTTTGTTCTATGTGTATATTTTCTATACACACAACAACGTCCTTTGAAGTATGATTATGTTACATGAAGTATAGTTTTTAAGTATATTACCAGTCTAGATGATAATTGCATTGCACAGAATGATAAATTCATTTAAATGTAAAGTCACATGATTCGTTTAATTGAAACTATAATATAGCCACTTAGACCGGTATTCATAGTTTTTTAAGTATTAGTGTTTGTTTGAGAATGTGTGATTAAAAAGTGGAGAATTATTTTTTATTTACGTGTATAATTATTTTATTTAGAGAATGTAAGATTAAAAATGAATTTTTAAAGAATTGAGCTCGAATATGAGCTTAATGTTATTCTTTCCATCTCAAGACTAGGTAAATTTTTTCTTCTTTGCAAGTTTGTACTTACATTCACATTGTATTGTTGCATTTCAAAAAATAAAAATAAAAAATAATAATAATGATAATGATAATGATAATGATAATGATAATGATAATAATAATTATAAAATTAGAGTGAGAGAGATTATGCAGGAATTCACATGGTGGCCCCATTGGGAAGAAGATTATGCAAAGTATTCAAACCATGGTGGCCCCTCCACTCTCGTCGGTCATGCATTTCACCGCACGCCCCATTTTTATTTTCTAGAGAGAAAAGAGACTCTTCATCCTAATGGTATTTTTTGGAAATTTTATCTTTTTGTCTTTATTCAAACGTACGTGATGATGTTAAAAAAATAAAAATAAATAAAAAAATTTTTTTGACATAACAAATATCGAGTCCAAAGAGAGTGTCGGGTTTTTTCACCATTTTTGTTCGTAACGCATCACTGAAAAATATAAATGCTTGTATATGAATTAAATAGTAGTCGGTTTTATAGGACGATTGAGTAAGAGTGATAAGGTAATTTGATTTTGGGAGAAGCCGCAATCTTATCACTATATTTTTATTGAGTTCAGATTAATTGTTTTAAATTTCTTGTTCCTTCGATCAAATTTTGTCATTGTGAAATTACGGTGATATGTCAAAATTTAATTGAGATACAACCGAATAGATAAGAAGATGGGGACAATACATTGGACCCATTGTTACTAGTGTATTCTATTTAAAATATGTATTGTTAGTTTGGAGGTGCTTAGAATGGAATACTAGTTAGAAATGAAATGTAATATTGTTTTATATCTGTTTACTAACTTTTATTTTTCAGTATTTTCCATTGTCGTGTCAATGAAATCTCAAAAGTCCTCATTTTAATCTCTATGCCACTATTTGATAAAACTTAAAATACTTTTATTTTTCAGTATTTTCCATTGTCGTGCCAATGAAATCTCAAAAGTCCTCCTTTTTGAGCCCCATTCTTGTATTAAAAAAAAATGCATTTTTAAATAGTATATTGATGGGAAATGTGTGGTTAAAGATTAAAAAAAATGTTTTGAATTTACGTGTAATATTATTTTATTGAAAAATATGTGGTTGAAATGTGTCAAATCACTGTTAAAAAATGTAATTTGATGAAAAAATGGGGCTCAAACAAGGGAATCTCTACTCCCTATTTCATAAAAATTAAAATACTTTTATTTTTCGATATTTTCTATTGTCATGCGAATGAAATCTCAAAAAGTCCTCTAATCTCTATGCCCCTATTCGATAAAAATTAAAATCTAGTTTTTTATATAAATTAAATTCAACAATCAATTCCAACCACATATTTTGTGGAATTCACAAGTTTTCAAACAGTGTATTTCATCAACTTTTATCGAAATCCACTAAAAATATGATTTTAAACCCTACCAAATAGGGCTATATAATTATTCAGTTCAACTAAAAAGTTTAGTAAAGTCAAAAACTAATTTCAACCACATATTTTATAGAACTCACAACTTTTAAAAATTTTGATTTTTATCTAAACCAAACAACGGCAAAGAAAAAAGGATGACCCAAAAAAACATAATTAAGGAAAAAATTGCTAAATAAAAAAAAAAAAAAAAAACCCATACTTGTTTTATTATAAATATTTTGGATGACTCTACCGACTTAAAATTTACTTGACCCTAGTTTATTTGCCTTGCTTTCATGAATGTTACGATGTGAACATTTAATGAGAATATGTTAAAATTGTAAAGTATGGTAATCGATATAAGCCTATGAACAGGCAATGTACGAAGGCTTTTCTTTCTTTTGACTAGCTATGAACATGCTGTGAACTATGAAAATTCTTATAAGTGAATTCACCTATGAAGAACTTCACTTTGGAATTTGGTTTGATAGATCCAGGATCTGAAAGTAGTAGGTTTTAGGTGGTTTGTTCTGGGTGAAAGAATATACGTGGTGTCATGAAAAGCCCAATTACAAGGCTAGGCTTGTGATCCCAAGTGGAGGGAGTGGATTATTTTAGAATTTTTTTTTTTTTTCTTTTTTTGATATCCAGGTATTCCAGATTATACCAGACTAAATCTTGGACCCCCAAGACCCTTGCCCCTAGAACTTTGGAGGGGGTAAATCGCGGGTTATGCCTCAACTGGATCACAAGTTCCTCCCATTACCTGTACATTTCAGCGCACAAGAGACCCTCCTTCACAGTGATTGCTCCATACCAAATTTTGGTCGCAGGAATCGAACTCTCCACCCTGCCGTTGGAAGCAAGACAATGTTGATTGATCTACCAATTAAGTTGTGCCCCGGGGGGGCAATTTTCGAATTTATTCACCTGACTTCTTGTTGTCAATGGTAGCTTAAAGAACAGATCTTCACTATTATACACAAATCAGAAATAGTACATCAAAAATATACCATTTACATGAATCCCCTAAAGCCACAGCACCAAGTGAAAATCCTTTTAGGCTCAGACCAAAGACCCCATTTCTAACATCACAGAGACACCAAATCTTAACCGCGAGCCCTCACAGTCCCAAATCTACAGAGTTACTTCAACAGGACACAAAATGAACAAACCCCTTCGACACAAGACTCTCACACAGAGAGATCGAAGAAGAACAAAAACTTAAAACCCTAGTGAAGGTTCCAGAAACACGGCTCACAGAAGAGAGAAAAATGAAAATGACGACTTCCAACCCTAGTGAATGAGAAAAGGGTATATTTATAGTAGAAATTATCAGCCATCAGATTAATGGGTCGATCCAACGATCCCAGAGCAACTATGAGAATGGGCCGATTATTGGGCTCGGTTAAGCGGGTCGTCTAAGTATCAAAGAGTGGATCAATCTGCTCTTTATCTATTGGGCATGGAATTTTATCATCATTGCCTATAAATTGGACTGATCATGTTGGCATCACAGCCCAACAGATCTCCACCCTGATGTCAATGGTCATACAAGAAGTCTAATGAAAGTAAAACACAATTTATATCTCTCCAAAGAATGTAGCTTCCCAGTACTTCTAATAAGCATCAGATTCAGCACCTATAGAGAACCAAAAATATCTAACCAGTATCAATGTTCAAAATTTGTAAACAAGACTTAAACTTGGTTAACGGTATTACCTTAGTCCCTACATCAGCTAGATTAAACTAAGTTGCAATTTTCTCAAGTAAAATAAGTTCTTTTGAAACAACATCTCTAATAAAATGCAACTTAACATCAATATGTTTGGTTCTTTCATGAAAAACAGGGTTTTTATATAGGTGAATTGCACTTTGACTATCTGAATATAAGACAATAGGATTACTTAATTCATTTATTTCAGATAACAAGCCCTTAAGCCATAAGGCTTCTTTTATTGCTTCAGTTGCAGCAACACACTCAACTTCAGTAGTAGATAAAGCAACAATAAGTTGAAGTTGAGATTTCCAACTAATACATGTATTACACAAAGTAAACATATAAGAAGTGGTAGATTTCCTATTATCTCTATCTCCTGCAAAATCTGAATCTACAAAACCCTTAAGTACAACACCTTTATTACAGGCACTAAAAATCAAACCAAGATGTGAAGATCCTTTCAAATATCTCAACAGCCATTTTAAAGCAACCCAATGGTCAGGTCCTGGATTGGCCATAAATCTACTTAATGTGCTAATGGAATGAGCTACATCAGGCCTAGTACATACCAAGGTGTACATAACAGAACCTACAACATTAGCATAGGGTACATTTTCCATTTGTCTAATGTCAGATTCATCTACAGGACATTGCTCCTTACTAAATTTAAAATGGCTGGCCAATGGAAGTAAAACAGATTTAGAGTTATGCATGGCAAACTTAATCAACATTTTTTCAATATATGCAGTTTGTTTCAAGTACAGTAACCTATGGTGCGTTTTCCTAGTGATTTCCATTCCTAGAATTCTCTTTGCATGTCCTAGGTCTTTCATTTCAAATTCAGCACTTAAAGACCGTTTTATCTGATCAATAACATGCATATTCTGACCAATCAGCAACTTATCATCCACATAAAGAAGTATAAAAGCAACAATAGCATTTTCATCATTTCTTTTAAAATAAAGACAATGATCATATTCACTTCTCATGAAACCAATAATAGATACAAAATTATCAAACCTTTTGTACCATTGTCGTGGAGATTGCTTTAAGCCATATAATGATCTTTTTAACAAACACACATGATCAGATTTAATTTCATCAATAAAACCAGGTGGCCGTCTCATATAAATCACTTTGATAAGTGCGTTTTTACACACTTATTTAGGTCACAAACATGACTTAATAATGAGCAAAATGATTGAATTGTGACTTAATCTCGTTATATTTGTGAATTGTAGGGAACACCGATGAACATGGTGAAGTTCAGAAGAAAAGAGCCAAAAAAAGACTAAAATGGAGCAAAGTGATAGTTCGGGGACCAAGTTGCAAATAATCCATAGATGAGACGGGAAATGGAAT